AAAGTCCATCCCCTAACTTCTGATTGCATATAATACAATATGGCTTTAAGGTTTAAATAATAATGCAGATGCAGCAATATTTCCTATATGTAGTGACTGTCGTAGGGATACAGAAATATTGAAGGATAATTCAGTGTTCTCATTATTGTGTTATCTTAACTAAAGAGTTAAAGGTTTTCTTAAACCAACATAACCTCATTACTTACATCTGACTACTAATTAAAGAACGAACCTCCTGTCCACTATTTTCTGCAAGCCCGCAAGCATGGATCACGTATATTCCCCTCACAAGTCCTACATTTTGCCAATAATTCGCTGTGCATGTATACATGTGCAAATAAGTGTCAACTTATACTGAACACAAGAAACAGAGATAACACATGAAGCAGTTCAAATCGCAGTGATACGTACATGCAGTATGTCATGAATCATTCTAAATATCATGACTGGAAGACAACTTTTTGGCCTTACATAAGCAATGGTTGTGATAAATCAGTCAGTATACTTTTTTATAAAATGCATGTTATGATCGGGACATGAAACTGTACACGAGTCCATAAGTATTTATTTTTCTATCAAAAGTCATACTCATTATTCTCTATATGTCAGATTGGTTATCAGGGTGCTTACTTAATCAAGATTTGCTTTCATGACTGCATTACTAAATATTCTGTAGTTGGTTAAGCACCACATAAACCTTGAGCTTAAGAAAGTAAATCAGTATAAAAACAAATTTAATAAAGTGATCATTATCATATGTACACAGACAAGAGATGTCTGCACGTATTCAGCAGGAGAAACAGTTGGCAGTCCTTGAAGCCCACCAGGCTGAGATGCAACGGAGGAGAGATTCTCCACAACACAGAGATCTCATCATAGCTTATCACCTAGTCAGAAGAAGCCTGCAGATCAGGTAAAGTCTGGTTCATAAGAGGTATCAGAAAGTAGGGCTTCATGCTGGAGTTGTATTTACTATCTTGATTTTCGATAAAGAGGAAATTGGTGTGTTACATGTTATTCATAAGTAATTAATTTAACCTTTAACGTACGGACTTTTAAATTGCCAGCAGCCCTGTACGGCCGGAATTTAAATTGCCCTAATTAGTTAACATTGAAAACTTTCAGACAAAAATGCATATTTTCCGTTCTATGCAACATAGAAATATGAACTAAAAAGAACCTGAAAGACGATAAAATTTTCTACATATACACAAAAGCGCAAGTTTTACAAATGAAAATTAACTGTGATTATTTTGTCATGAAATGCAAAATATAGTCTTTATTATATATATGTTATGAAATTCCAAAGGACTTACCCGTTGTTTTTTCTGCAACCTTGAATCATGGTGATATTGTAAATATAATCACACTATATACAATAATATTTCGTTCAGACTGTATGCGAGTTTGAACTGCATCACTTCACAGTTTGCGATACCTCACAATCTGACGCATGTGTGCCACTTCTTGATGCAGTCCACCACACAGAGCTCAACATTACACTTTTTACAATAGAAGAGTGTGCTTCTGCTTTTCTTATTTTGAGAACAAACGCGACGTCTTTGTTTCCCTTTGGTTGGCCAATATTGTGAATGTTTCACCTTCAGTCGACTAAGTTGGGCTCCAGATGAACTTGGCCTCCACCAAGAAACGCCACTGACCGTGATATTAGCCTCATGTGATTGAAAAATCAAATCCCACACCAATATTTCACAGAATTTTTATGTCATTTTTTCACCACATGACTTGTGTAATAGATATGCATTTAGAATAGAAGAATCTAGAAGGTGGAAAAACAATTTCTTTGTACACTTCCATGTCCCCTGAGCAATGCCATAACTGTTTACCATCCTGTCAGATTTATCCACAAAGCCCACATGTGCATTGTAGTCTTCAATTACATGGGGTTTGACAGCATGGCCAGTTTCATCTTGGAAGTTGCCATCCAATGGAGGAGGGTGCATATTCGTCAGAACATACATATCACGCTTGTCTTTCCAACGAACAACACTTAGATGCCCCTTGACTCTTGTAAGAATATCCCCTTTTTTCAATTTCATTGACTTCTTGTGCTGTTCCACACCTATCATTGCGAATGGTGCCACACGAATTTATTTTCCTGTCTAAAAGATCATCAAATAATGCAGGAGAACTGAAATAATTGTCCATGTAAATTTTGTGTCCCAAGCCTTCTACTCTTTGAATTACCTGGAGAACAATGCCATGTGTTGATGTAATTTCTTCTGTCACAAGTTGCTTTTGTTTCCCTAAATGAACTGTCATGTCATAAGTATAGCGAAGAAAATCGCAAAGCTTGTAAATTTTTATACCAAATCTTTTGCGTTTCTTTAGAATATACTGACGAAACATCACTCTTCCTTTGAAGAGCACTATGACTTCATCAACAGCAAGACGTTCTGATGGATTGTAAAGTTCACAAAATTTGTTGTTCAGATAATCAAAAACCTTTCTAATTTTCCAGAGGCTATCATACTCTAGGTTGTCTCGATTTGGAGGAGCTTCATTATTTTCAAAATGCAGGAATCTCGAAATATGGAAGAAACGGTCTCGTACCATGGTTTTATGGTAGAATGGAGTGTAGTATTGCTCATCTCTTGACCAATAATCTTTGAGGGTGTCCCATTGATTGTGGCCCATTTGAATTATTATTGCCAAATATTATACATTTCTTCAATTGTAATATTTCCTCATCAGTTCTAGAAACAAAGCTGGGCTATATTTGGCTGACCAGGACATAAACAGTCATATCTAAACGTAAATAGTATCGAAACCAGTACCCTGATAAACGATTTCATTGTTCAGAGCTAACAAATGAACCTCTGACATGACCTTGCATGGGTTTGTTTTGGTTTCAAACCCAAGATCAAACTGTCAGCACTCCCAAAGGGTGCACGTGTCCTGCTGCATATATATTGTGACGTGTTTCACAATGGAGGACGCTCCCTCCCTCCCCAGTGGTGGCGTGGAGGCTCTGGCCGCGGTGGCATGGCAAGTGAGTCGGCGCTCCCCCCCCCGCGCTGTGACGCGGCACTGCTTCCCGCTCTGACGCTGCACCACTTCCTACTGTGATGTGGCACGCAACGCCGCTGTTGACACGGGCAACAGGCAACAGTGAATGGAATGAAAGCCGGGTGAGCAGCAAGCGAGAGTGTCGCTGAATTATAGTAAGCAGTGATCGCAACACTGCGGGTGTAAATGATTGTGTAAGCGTGAAGGACAGTAAATGTTCTACGGAATTTGAGGCCTACGTGAACTTATTTATAGCATGACAGACACAAAAACACGCGACAATATATATATATATATATATATATATATTGTGACATGTTGCTCTACGGATGACGCCCCTCCCTCCCTGCCAGCCTTGACGTGCTGAGCGGAGCCGAAGTGAGCTGAGTCCCAGCACGCTGGTCGCTATGCAAAGCGAGTAAACACCAGTTGCTAAACAAAGCGGCTAAAGAGTGGTTGCGAGAGACAACGGTAATAACAGCGGTACCCATTATGTAACGGGCAAACACGGCGTCAGACAACAGTGGTGGCTATTACGTAACTGTTTTCCCATTGTCTGGCTGAGGGTTTACAAGGGAACTACATAGCCGCCGAAGACAGTTCTCAAGGCAGTAGTCTACGAGTTGAGTTGGAATCTAGCCAGCGGAGAGTTACGAGTTGAATTGAATTGTAGTAGTCACCGAGTTTAGTTGTAACGAGTGAATCGTGATAGAGTGAATTGATTTGTTTGTAGGGTTTGCAAACTGTGGAAACCAGTAACATCGTTGTAAGTAATTGTAGCCGATACTTGTACGAAGGGGGACCAAAAAATAACCGGAACCGACCTGTTGCGCGCGCATGCTTTGTAGTTACGAGTTGTGCTGCTAGGTGGTGTTAGCTGGGGGTCTCCCGCGACTGTTACTGAGCTGGTGTCAGTCTGAGTTAAGTGGTTTGTCTGTGGTGCTCTGTTGTGTGCGTTCCTGTTTCAACCCTTTGGCGATTAGTGAGATGGCCGACCAGAAGGAACAAAGAGTGTGCGTGAAATTTTGCTTTCTGTTAGGGAAAACTGCAG